TTTCCTGTTGAAGAGAGAATTTTGTGGGAAACAAACAGTGGTGCTGGATAAATTTGCCTTTTGATGAGCTCAGACGGGTTTTAAAAAGGTCCCAATATGGCAGTAAGAGACAAGATCGTCTTGTTATCCTCTTGTATTGAAACATTTTATTGGTGGGGTGGGGGTGAGAGAGCTAGGGAGGTAAAAAGGATAGTTATGGGTAATTCGGTGACTGTCTATTTTGCTGTGCTCTCTAAACTTGAAGATGGGCTAAGCGTGGACAGGCTATTAATTATTTACTGAATTTGATGTTGTAGGAAATTTCAGTTTACAGAAAGAATTACAGTTAAGTATGCTGGAGCTACAGCAATGTATTTTGTGTCCAAGAATCTGAAGAAGAAGTACAACATTACTGATGAACGTGCTGCTCTTTATGAGGCAGCAGAAACATGGGTCGATGCTCTAAATGGCCGGGAATTCCTTGGTATGCCCCCCCTCCCTTCTGCGCATGGTGTGTGAAAATTTTTTGTCACCTTTGAAATACAGAAATAGCACGCGATTCTTTTGATCATTTTAAACTAATGTTAACAACTCCACATCAACAAATATGCAAATATGGCAAACAGGCAAAGCTACCGATGGCAATTAGAAAATTGAGGTCACGCCATGCCGGTTTAGGATTGAGTTGTTTTAATTTGTTAAACAGCCTGTGCAAGATGGCTTTTTCTTTTCTTTTTTTCCTCCTTGGATTACAAGCTATTGCTTGGGGGGTGGATTGAACCCCCATTCCACTAGGCTTGGCAAGATGGCATTTAACTTTTGCCGGTTTAAAACTAGCTCTTTATCTTCTAGATATATTATGCTGACGCAAGTTCCCACTTAAAGGCAATATTCTGGTGAATATATGATAAATGTTTTCATGTTTTTATATATTTCATAAATTGTGTATATTCCAAGTATATATTTTCTCATTATTATGATTAGTTTTCTTTTCCCCCCTCTCAGGAGGATCCAAGCCTAATTTGGCCGACTTGGCTGTCTTCGGGGTGCTGAGACCAATTCGCTATCTTAGGTCGGGCAAAGATATGGTAGAACACACTCGGATCGGTGGGTGGTACACAAGAATGGAGAATAATGTGGGACAGTCTTCAAGAATGAAAGCCTAAATGAACATCGTCGAGTTAGGACTTTTTTCTCCCTTATATTGCTATGCTTTCAGGGTTTTGTACCACATGCAACTTATTTATTGGAAGGAAAGACGGATGGATATCTCCCTGGACATTCAAAAACAAACTGGAAGGCGGAGGTAGTCGTATATAGACGCAAAATTATTCCAAATGATTAATTCTTTCGACAAATTAATTTATATTTATTATAGATGCATTTACTTTTGACCCATCTTATTGAGTTGTATGATAGAAAAAATGAAACAGTTTGCCAGTGACAATAGTAAAAAAGGCAACCGTTGCCTCTGTTATTTGTAATCTAGGTAATGAGTAGGGGCCATTCTTTTAGCATTGTCGTTATCACGTGTCCTGGTTTTAATTCGAATCTACCCCATCTTCCGTGTCGTTAATGATGCCAAGCAACATGTGCCCAACGAAGGAAAGCATCGATGCTCCTGGGTGAACTGCAAAGCATTGCATTATTTCTTTCTCCATTTTTCTTACAATACTGGGATTGATCTATCAAGGATACGTTATAACTGTGTAATTTGACAAACGGTAGTACGTCAGTCAAATGCTAAAAGCTCATCAAGCTGTTCCTCTGTCCACTGTGGGATTAGGATCTCCCGATTTGTGTCCATCTGTCTTGTTGACCCCGTTTCCGGACCATGAGATTCAGATGTATCAACCAAGTATGCCGATGAACCATTGTTTTGAGCAATACATGCTGAACTGTCTCCGCCCAGTTGACAAGGGTTTGAGTTGTCTTCCGTCTCAATCTCAAGCTCACAGCTACTGAGTGCTTTCACACGTTCAGCGATATTGACGTGCTCAGAATGGTTCCTTCCTGAATCTTGTTTCGCCCCGACGCTTTCTGGAGTTTTATCATCTCCCTTTTGCTTATCACTAACTTCCATATCTTTAAATCCCAAATGTAGGGAGCGGTTAGTGCTAATTTCCTCTGTTCTTTCCTGTGGCAGAGACAAAGTATAGTCCGCCATCGATAATCTTTCGTTGCCTCCTGTCACAGAGAAGGTTAATTTATGAGCACGTATGTATTGTAGGAGGGTTAACAGTAAGGCATTAGAATAAATAGAACACGTCATCATCAATAGAGAGGGGACGAAGAGCTAATAAAAGAACTTGTTACAGATTGATGTTCGTAAGTACCTATAGAAGGAGCCACACGTCTTAAAGATGGATAAATTTCAGATTCAGGTTCGCTGCTCTCTGAAAAAATCTGTTCAGAACAAACAGTTTGTTAGCGGACAAACAAAAACTCGATATTCAACAGATCGAAAGGAAATAAATGGAAAAATATCTCAAATTATTGCATTCGAAATTCGAAGAGATTGAGGATGTGACGAGGATTCGTTCTCAATGATATCTCCCCAAATAAAAATGAGCTATCCAAAGTTGCTCCTACCCCTTTCTAAGGAACTAACTAGACAAGCTAAACGACCCAATCTCAAACTTCAAGCCAAGAACCCATGATTCTGAGGCTGGGACACCCTGCGCATTATTTTAGTTACTCGGGTAATTTGACTATCGGCATTTGCGATCATTTCCCATTCAATCAGCATCAAACACTGCTTTCGTCTTTATGTAGCTCTAAACGCCGAATGGACCACATCTCATCATTTTCGGCCGATTAGGATAGAATATACTACTTTCAGTTATTAATATAAAGACTTGTTTGACTTTCAATTTGATCCTAAATATAAAGTCCTAATATATTTTGTTTTTCACATTTATTTATTTTTTTCAAAGTGGTCTTTGAAATAGTTGTACATATTAAAAATTCCATTCAATAGTAATTTTAGCTAATATACATGATTAATAAAGACATTCTAAAAAAAACAACACATTTATTATAAATAATTAATTTAACTAATTTTCTTAATCTTTTCAAATTAATCAATTAAATCTTATATTAAGGACCAAGAGTAGTAATTCATTTTATGCATGAAGACCCAAGCCTTAAGCCCTCCCCGTTGCCGCCAACTCTTACCGACAAACATATCAAATCTTGGCCAAATTCTTTGTCCCTCCATTACGACGATATGCCTAATTAGAAAGTTTTCCGACTCTTTTTGTGCTATTATAGTTGATTCAGCAGGATCCCTGAATGAACTGCCAACATCAATCATGCTTCAATGTTGTATAGACGGTCTATCAAAATGTTCAACCCTAAGTCAGATGCATATACAGCCATATATTTTTGGTTTAGAACAGAACAGTAAATAAAACGGGGTGAGCCAGGCGAGGAGGGAAGGACTAATGATTGAGAATGCTTATTACTGGTATCCATTAAGGTCAGAGTAGATCTCAAATTAAACGTTATACAATACGGTTTGCAGTTAAGGTTCTATATTGATGGGGTTAAGTTTGGCCCACAAAAAAAATATTGATGGGGTTAAGTGTGAACACGAAGATGATCCCATACCTTGACTATGTTGCGCAATGTTATATTCAGGTAACAAACAGAGGGAGTGGGGCAAAATACAGCAACCTGAAATAGAGGACAGGTTGGTTTAGTCAAGCAAATTTGGTCATCAGACTACAAGTTGCCACCAGGAAAACGAAACTAAAATTCAACGCCATGACAAGGAAGCTTTTGCTGACGCAATATTTCTATATTCAAATTAATGAGTAACAGACCTTTTGGAGAACCAAAACCGAACCAGCTTTTACATTATTTCCAAATTCTCCTTCAGTGAAGACTTTACGATGTACACTGGCACCAATTGTACCAGAGGGATCCTGAAATTCAGACTCAGGTACCTCAGATATTATTATCATGAGAAAGAACAAGAGACACAAGTCATGAGTGCATTTTCGAATGCACCGCATTCACAGTTCCAGATATACCTTTAAGGTCACCATGAAATCTCCTAGACCATTCGGTGTGCAGGATTTAATAACGGCGATTACCTGTTTCCAAGTAACTAAATATTTAAAAGAAACTCGTATGAAACTTTTGAATTAAGGCCGGCACTTTATAGAAGTATATAGTGAATAACATAAAATCATCTTCCGAATTATTGGCAATACCTGACCTACTCGTTCAATGTTGATTTGCTTCTTAATTGAGCTCAAAGGCGTACCAAATACCACACTATTACGATCGACCTTGCCTAGAAAAACCGAAAGAGAAAGAGATTTGAAATGAACCAAGCATGTATGAGCCACAGAATAGCTTTTCCAGAATCAGTGTAGTTTTAGAAAATGATAGATTATTTCAGAGGTAAATAAACGGGGAAATGTAGGAAGAACCTTCTCGACGAAGCCAGCCCAGAGCACAGTGCCAGGCATTAGTGTTAAAATCGTGATCGTTATCATCGCCATATTGAACAACCCGCCTTATGAATTCTTGCGTGGGAATGGAGTCCGCGGCATCTTCCAATAAACTCTGGTGACCTAGAGCTCTGCGCTGCATCGCGGCCTGAACGACACCGGCCGGACCGGGAATGAGGCGATTTGGAAGAGCAGGTGCCTTCGCCTGCGGTAAAAGGGAATGGCAATGGGAAGCGGGTAGGGTTTCAGGGGGGGAATGAGGATTGCGCTGAAAAATTAGCCGCTGCTGCGAAGCATTGGCGGCGATGGTATGGGAAGCTTTGGATGAGGAATCGAGGTGATGGCGTTTGCAAGGGCGGAGGAAAGAGGAGAGGTCAGAATCATCGATGTCAAGAGCTTCCCAGGGTTCCATAACATTTCACCATCGTGTTTCCAGCAGTGATGGCAGCATGATTATAAACTGAGAACCAAAAGACAAATCAAAACTCAAAAGGGTAGCCGCAAGCGCGGGAACCCTTTTAATTGGACCCTAAGTTGGAATATTAGGAGGGCCTGGGCCTCTCCTCGTATCTTTAGCCCTCCAACTATCCTTTAATCCAATAATAATGCCCAAAAAGTCAAAAAGCCGTGGCAATGGGACTAAATCAAGTGGAAGGTCTTAATTTTTTATAACGTGGTGAATTAAAATTTAAATTCTTATTAAAAAAGATATTTATATTTAATGCTCAATAATATCTCAAATAAAATTACTTGTAATAAAAAAATACTTGTACCTAATTTAAAAAAAAAAAAAGCAAGGAAGGAACATTTATTTTTTAAAAAAGCCCATTAAAACTAGTTTAAGCTGCTAGTGTACTGATCATATAGGATTTAAATTCCGGTAATATAATTAAAAAAATAAAAAGTGACGTCCAGACTCTAGAATACGAACAAGTCAACTTAAGTTTGTCACGAGGGTATGAAATGTAGGCATATGTGGGTTGAGAGTTTTAGAGCCATTGGATTTGGGCTATGGAGATCGGCCACGTCGCAGTAGCGGCATTCACGGACGGCACAAGTCAACGTCTAACCGCAATCAATTTTGAACCGGAGCTGCCGCTTACAAGTACCAGGAAATCCTCCCTACTTCTCAAACTCATCCTCCTTTTCTCCTCCTCTGACTTGGCCCATTTCTTCTTTCACCACCCCCCCGGGACCGTACAGGGCCAACCAACAAGTTTTCCCCCTTGTCAAACCCCTGATCTCAGCATTTCCCATCTCTAAATTGTTTTCCTCATCGATTTATCGTTACCAATTTCATCTCAGACTAAAACAAGGATTTAATGAGATGAAGTAGGTGGAAAATTGTACACAGAAAGAGCGTGAGGGAGAACAATGGAAAACCTGATCGGCCTTCTGAGGATTCGGGTGAAGCGTGGGGTGAACCTCGCCGTTCGTGATGTTCGTAGCAGCGATCCTTACGTCGTCGTAAGGATGGGCAGACAGGTCAGTGCTCTCTTCTATTCTTCTGCTCACATAATTCTTTATTATGAGCCTTCTTTCTTGGGTACAGATTGTGTATATATCCTCTTGAAAATTGCATTTAAACGCCCCTCCCCCGGGGGTCGTCTGTTTATTCATAATTGTTATATTCAATAGCTTTGGCTGTATTTATTTTGGAGAATTGGTCGCAGAATTTCAGCCAACTACTTTTTATTGCACCATCTATTCACAATTACAATTTTCCCTCCAGTTGATTCCAAGGATTGCTGTTCTCTTCGTTCCCTGGATGATTCATGTGCCCTTTATTTAATTGTTCATTTCCCTGAGAAGTACGTAGAAATTCTTTCACCTTGGGTCTCGTCCCTGGAAGTTTGAATGGGATAAAGGAAGATTCTAGAAATGAATAGGAAAGTATAAATAACTGCGTCGCAATTGTGGTAGTTGTGAATGTTATTATGAATAAGCACAAGTGATGCGTGGTTTTACAGAGACTCAAGACTCGTGTGATAAAGAAGGATGTAAATCCTGAGTGGAATGAAGACCTGACCCTTTCAGTTACAGACCCGAGTCGTCCGATAACAATAGTAAGTAGTGTGAGTTACTGGTGTATGTTTATTTATATTTATATACTATCTCGATTCTTAATATAAGAGCTCTTTTAACTTTTATTTTAACTCTAAATATAAGACTAAAACTCCATTCAATTTGTCTCTCATATTTATTTATTTATTCTCAAGGCAGTCCATGTAATAATGATAATTGTAATTAAAACACTTGATCAACAAAGATATTTTAGAAAAGATAACACATTTATTACAAATAATTAATTTAATTAGTTTTTTTAATCTACTCAAATTAGCTAATTAGTTTTTATATTAAAAACTGAAAGCAGCACGAAGGAATGTTAATGATGTGTGTGTGTGTGAGATGCAGACGGTGTATGACCATGACACGTTCAGCAAAGATGACAAAATGGGGGAAGCAGAGTTTGAGATAAGACCGTTTATAGAAGCGGTGAACATGAGGCTGGATGGGCTGCCGAGCGGGACGGTGGTGAGAAGATTGTATCCAGGCAGGCAAAATTGTTTGGCGGATGAGAGCTGCATTACGTACAGCGAAGGCAAGGTTGTGCAAGATTTGGTGCTCAGATTACGCAATGTTGAATGTGGTGAAGTTGAAATCCAATTGGAATGGATCCGCGTTCCTTCTACTTCCCGTTCCATTTAGCTTCTGCTTCCTGGGTATATTCTTTACATCGCTACGCCTTGTGTTTTCTGCTGCTACTTATCATCCTGTATCTATTTTCTGCCCTCTTCTTTTACTCCCTTTAGTTCCCTTCTCTGCATACTTTGGAACGCTTTTTCATTCATCATTGAAAGAAAACCTGTTTTGTTACTCCGAAGACTCGTTTTGTAAGCAAGTGACGGTAAAAGAACAAAGATTTTCGGAAAGAAGACTCGGTATGAGTTTTCCCAGTTGCGGGGCCAAAATGTCCTCCACAACTTGGACACATAGCTGGTCCGCGCTATTGAGAATGGCCTGCTGACTTGAACACTAGGACGCAGGAATCCCCTCATGACGATGCCATTCGCAATATTGTTTAGTTTTAGGGAATGTTTGGATAGAAACCAAACCATGGTTTTAAAAATGTTTTTACGGTATACGAAGTAAATATGTAGATGAGTGTGTCTCGTTTTGTGAAATCTTGTCAAACACCTCCTCAGTATTGATCTTCTTAGCATTAACATATCATCGTTCATATTTTAATATAGGATAAATAAGCAAACTTACTGATTGTAATATTCAAAAAGAATATCAGAAACCATAATAAAATGTTAGGCGTAAAAATACCTGGGATGATTTAAAGATGTCTCAAAATGCTACTTCCATTAAATGCATCAAATAACTGTTTGCTTTAAGTTTGGGGTGCTACTATATTATCCACATGTGTCCTTCATCCTGGTTATTTTTCTCAATACTAGTTAATGGCAGTCAGTCAGTATTAGAAGCACTCACTGTAGTCGTCGTTGCTGCTTTAACTAGTGAATTGTGAATCATCGGTCATAAATTTAGAGAAACAAACAACCTATCCAGAAATTTTACTCGAAGATTTAGAGAGACCAAGAGGGGGAACAAATATGAGCAAAAGAAGAGGAATTGATAGTGAGGAGTGAGATCTCATCCACCTTGGACTTGAACATAGAGATTTGAGAATTGGAAGACGAGAGAGCTAGCCTACTATCGCAAGGGGATAACTCGACAGTGTTATTGTAGAAGAATTTTTCCTTTGGTGCAAATGCAATTCCAAAGGTGAATACGTCAGATCACTCCACCTTAGAGTCCATGCAAGGAGAATACACTCTGTTGTGTCTTCTACGTCCACAAAATTTGCCACCACCGTCACCACGATCATCAACCGTGTCGCTAGCATTTTGAGCACCGTCATATGGTGTGTGCTAAGCTGATTCGACCACAGGTTCCTAGGAGGAGAGGTCACGAGATGTTGAGTCTATTTGTGCTCACGTTGAGGAAAGCATACTTCTGACGCTTGGAGTAGTAGGTAGTAAGAATCCAAACAGCAGGCTTCTCAAGGCGATGACTTTAGAGTTGAAGGCAAGAACTAGAGGTGGATTGAGACCGAGATGTATGAACGGATTGGGTTTTGGTGCGAGTACGAATGCTAAAGGAAGAGGACAGGGAGACATCCATAATGCTGGCATCGCAAAAGGTTTGGGTCATAGAGAGAGGCAGAGTAGGAGAGAGAGTGAAAGAAGGAGAAAGGATACGAGAGACTGACTCACCGATATTAAGAAAAATAATAGGACCCACAACTTAAAACATACGACGTTGATACGTTTAATGGAAGCAGCATTTCATGGTCGTTTTTGAATTATTATGGATATTTTTACACTTAATATTTTATTATGTTGCCTGATACTCTTTTTAAATATTACAATGAGTCAATTTACCCTTTCACCTTTTAATATAAATTCATTGTGAAAGCGTTCATAAAATCATCTTCTTCATTTAAAATGGGGGGGGGGGGATGTGTAGAATTAGTTGCACGCTAGGTTTCCCCTTGGGGTAGGGTACAGTTCACAAATGAATCCCCCTCTTATTTTGATTCCCGACACACATACGTTTTCAATTCCCTGTAAGTCTTCAAGAGGATCTCTTCGGTATGAATATTTCTTAGCTCGATATAAGACTATATTGCTAATATTAATTCTTGTTGTGAGGAATCTAACTGAAAAGTTTAAGTGATAAAATAATAAGAAGTACATTTGTAAACTCTCTTTGAAGCCTATTTTAAAAGACTATTATTATTGATATTTCTTATTTGCTAAAATAATCGACGTAACTGATATATAATCCATATGCTTAAAGGAGGTCAGTTTAAGTGCCAAGGATCTAACTCATACTCCACATGGGCGCAATGTGATTTGTAAACACTCTTTGAATCTTGAAAATGGCCCAACTTTCGCAATTTTTTTAAACCAAACTCATAAATTTTCATTTGCCAGCGCTTCAAAACCAGATTTTCTTTTCCAACACATCCCTTATATTTTAACTTAACGTGTTCCCAGCAACTTCCTCGTGTTTAGTTTAACTAAATCCACTTTTTTATTTTAAATAAGCTGGCCAATAATCAAATTGAAAGTCTATTTCATCCAACATCAAAAGAACAGTTAAAAAAAATACTACCTTCAGTCTTAATTATAAAACCTCGTTTATAGTCTATAAACGAGACATTATAATTAGGACAAGAGGTAGTAATAAGTATGAAAACCAACAACAACAACAAAAAAAGAGCATGCTGTGGACATTTGTTTTAATTTCTTGAATGATATTGCTGGAATTCATTATCATTCTCTTAAATTCCTTCAAAGGTAGCGTAGTCAAACTATGGGGTGGTGTGATTGAAACTAGATGGGAATCCACACAAATATGCTGCATCCCCACAGCAAGGCCAACTTGGTCTGTAAATCAGCAAAACCAATGCGATTGCGTAACTTTGCTCGTAAGAAAGCACCTTTTACGAGTTACCTTTATATCTTAATTGCTCATCTCCCTTCCTTAAATTTTTTTTTTTTAAAAAAAAAAAGTCTTCCCGTCTTATCCACTGAACCCCAATTCATCAATCTCTCGCTGTGTCTAAATTTTGTTATCCGGCTCTCCACTTTGGTCCGATGCATGCATCGGAATGTCTTAATGTTGCTGTAGTTTATGTCTGAGATTGCAGAATCATATATATACACACACACACTCTCTATGTTATCTTTTTATCTCGATATATAAATAAATGGCGGTGCCTGTTAGACAGTGGTCGCCGGTTCTTTAATTAACACTGGAAAATAGGGAATGGCTCGAAATTTTGAGGAGTGAAAGATTTGTTTTGTTTTGTGAAGCCGAGAGATAACATATATTCGTTCAAGGAGCAGAGGGAGGTGAATAGGACAAACCAAGTATTGAGATGAAAACAATCGTAACACTAAAATTAATAAATAAAATGGATACATTAATTCCATTTATGCTCATAGGAAACACAAAAACCCATAGCAGAGCGTGCAGCTAAGCTTGGTGTTTGGGGTTTTGAATTATCTAAGAGTTGTATGACTGACACGCCAATCACTGTTACTATCTCATCTTCTTCATCATTAACTCCAAAGCGTGCTTCAGTTATCACTTCTATGACCACTTTTTTTCAATTTTCTATGTATTAATTAATTGCTGTGATTCTGAACCTGGAATGCTTCCCCAATGAAGCCGTAAATGAATCAAGAGTGATACTATGGCTCACCTTGAACAAAAACCTTCTCCCTCACCAGTCTGATCTCCTGCACCACCGATAAACTTAATTAAGGGTTATAATGAGCAGGTCAAGGATGGATCCAAGCCCATCACAAGAAAAGAGATGCTTATTGTTTTGTTAATCATAGTCTAGTAACCTAATTAATAATTGTCCTTAGCCGCGAGAGTCGTCAAGGTTTGGTTCCTTTTGTTAAGCATATATACAGGAAAAGTGGAGTAAAGGCTGTACGCTTTTCAGTAACATTCTGGTTTTTACAGCTAGCTCTCTTGTGCTTTTGTTAGATGGGATCTTTTATTCTTTTCTTTTTCACTTGACTCACTTTCTGTTGCTTTCATGCAAATTGACAATAGAATAGAATGAAATTGGCTTGCCAGAGGGAAAGGGAAGGAAGAAAAATAATGGGAATGGAGAAAGAGGGGGGGCATGAAGGAGCATGTTTCAGTTCAGTAAATATTCGGGTGATGAGTAATGTAAGATTTTACCATGATGATGCTTTTAGGAAAGGTGAGCCAGCATTAGCAGAAACACGATCATGATGCTTCAGACATATATTCCCCCTTAATTCCTTTTCGTACTTACCCACATCCTTTAACAAATCCCTCCCTCTTCCTCCATTTTACTGCTGTATTTTTACTAGACCTACACATTTGTTATCAGCTACTATACTATCAACTTCCTCATTATATTCTGTGTAATTAATATCACTACCAAATTTAACATTTCATCAAAGAGCAAATTGTACTACTTACTTACGATAATTATTAATGATATGTTCTATTTAATTATCAAACTTTATATGATGCGAGCCCAACCATATGCATCATCAGAAAGTCATTTGGACTGTGCCAGTGCTGTATTGGGTTCGCACTTCGAAACTGTTCAAGAATCACTGTCCTGAATCAGGTTCAGAACTCTTTTGCTTTTGCTTTGCTGTTATATTATTCTCATTATTGTTGTATTTTCCAAATGCTCCTCCTCACCAAACCCTCACACCTGGCATGAGTTTTTAATCCATTGATTACATCTATAATCCATTATTAAATAGGAGAAGGACGCATGCATGTACTTGCAATGAATTAATTAAGCTGTTTTTAGTTATCGTTAGAATACTACATAGTTAAAATATTTAATCAGGTATATAATTTTTGACCCCAAAAAAAATCATACATGAAATGATGTAATCTGTTTTGACAATCAATATTTAATTAGAATATTAATTTATTATATTCCTATAATTATATTTATAATAACTATTTATATTTATTAGTAATTTTTATTTAGAAACATATATGTGATACTCAAGCGTGTAGGGTGGATTTTATGCAATAGAAAATACAATGTGTCCATTCTATATAGCAGTGAATAGTTTGAGAGAAGTAGGGTTGGTCCGGTTGGAGAGGTGGTGAACATAGAAGCAAAGGGGGGGAGGTCAAGTAGAGTGAAAGAAGGCAGAAATTGGAAAAGTTGATTTGATGAGAGAAATGAGCAATTATATATGTAGAACGAAAGCAACACATGCACGCATTAAACCCAGGGAATGTGGAGATACTTGGCTTGTAATCTCACCTAACTAAACTAAACGAACCCCAAGCACTTGGAAGTGGTAAAACCCCACAGACTTAGATAGGTCGATGCTTAGAT